CAGCTTGAGGTTCTTGGCTGGGACTTTCCACATGAAGATCGGGAACACTTGGGGAGAAGGCCGACCCACCTGGACCTCGACACACGGCACCACGCATCGGATCGATTACGTGGTTATGACGACTGACGTCTTGGACAGCATGAACTGGTGCAGCGTCAACCCAGGTATCGGCCTCACTCTCAATGCCAAGGCGGACCACCGGGTAGTTGCCATGCTGTCGCGGATACAGCCGCATCAACCGCCGATCATCACGGAGAAACCGTTCCGCGTCAACAAGCACAACCTCTCTTCTCCAGATCGTCGCGATACTCTCCATCACCTTATGTGGCGCTTTCCCGAGGTCCTCTTCCGCAGTCCACATCGATGACCACCGCGCCCTCCTGGTGGAGTGGACTCGCTGGTCGGTTCCACTCTGCTTCGGGCCTCCTGAGCGTCGGCCCCGAAAGGCGTGGATGAGCCCCCGCGTGTGGGAAGTTATCCAGCATGTCGCTCCTCTTCGACGGGTGCGCTACCGCGTCGCCGCCGCCAGATGTGCTGCATGGCGTGCGCTCTGCCTGAATGCGTGGCGTGATCAGCGCCCTCGTCTTCGTCATTATTTTGGATGTGCTCGGGGACTCCGCGCTGACGTTGATTGGGGCTACAAGCACAAAGCCTACATCGGAGCATACGTTTTCGCTTTGCAGAAGCTCGTCCGGTCGCTCCTGGAGGAAGATCGCCCGAAGTATTTTGACAGCGTGGCCAGCGATATCTCCGTCGCCCTCGACGTCGGGGACTCCCGGAAAGCTTGTGCTACCCTGGGGCCCCTGGTTGGCGCGCGCCCAGGCCGTGCCAATGCGCGCGCGATGCTTCGGGTAATTTCACGACGGCGCCAGCTGAGGTCAAGGAGGTCTGGCAGCAGCATGCCGCCACCATCTCCCAAGGGCAAGTCGCTGCCGCTGAGGCCCTCTGTCCTCCTCGCACTTCCCCTCGTGGTTTGCCCACCGCCCTCGACGTAGGTCCCGGGGCGACTCGTTTGGCGCACCTCGCACTGAGGCGGAACAAAGGCGTCGAGAGAGACGGTTTACCAGCGGAAGTTCTTCAAGCAGGGGCGTCTGCTCTCGCATGCCGTTTTGCCGACATCAACGCGCGCGTCCGCGACGCTGGCGCATGGCCTGCCGCTTGGCGCGGTGGCCGGTCCCAGGAAATCTTCAAACGTAAAGGCGACCTCGTTGTCGCCGATGACTATAGGAAAAAGCCTCGCCAGCATCTTGCAGCAGGAGATCAACGACGCCTACGTCTCCAATCAACCCGAGTCCCAATGCGGAGCCATTCCGCGCCGAGGCATTGGTATGGCTGCACGCGTTCTGCATTCACTCGTTGGTTATTCGGACAAGGCTGATCTCTCCACTTTTGTTTTGTACGTTGACCTCGCGAAGGCCCGCGACCGGGTGATGCGGCAGCTGCTCTACGGCTGGGGCACGCCGTCCCGAGACCAGCGGCGCGGGCATCTACTGAAATTTTCGGTGTCTCCTTGCGCAGATGATTGGATGCTTTCTCATCTGGGCGAGCGGGGCCCTCTTCTGCAGCAGCGGGGCGCGGGCCCGGCAGCGGCTGAGATGATGCGGGCGCTGCGTGACGCCGCTTGGGTCTCGGTGGCCGACCTTCCGACGCGCGTCGCCAGCCGCGCAGGGGGTCGCCAAGGCTGCAAGTTAGGTGCTGTCACTTTCAACGGCGTCTATGGCGTTGTGCTTGACATGATCGCCCGGGAGGCGAGGCGGGCAGGCATCGCGCTTGAGTTGCCGCTGCCTGGCGGGCGTTTTTGGGCGAGCCCGCGCGCCGACACAACAGAAACAGAGCGTCTTCTCGATGCGGCCTTCATTGACGAGGAGGCGCTTGCCGTCATGGCCAGGGCCCCGCACGTACTGGATGACCGCACCAATAAGTTGCTCAACGTTGTTCTTGATGCATTTGAGAAGCTGCATTTGGAGTTGCACGCGTCAGCTGGCAAGACGGAGGCCTCGTTGCAGCGGCGCGGTGCGCAATCTTGCGCTCGCCAGGGGGCTCGCGTGCAAGCAGGTGGCAGTCTTCGAACGAATCGTAGTGCCAGGGTGTGGCATGAGCATCGCAGTGGCCACATCGCACAAGCATCACGGCGTTTTTACTTCCCTTCGCGAGCGCAGCATGGCGGGCGCCAGTTTTAAAGCGACCCGTGTGCTTCAAGCCCATGCGCCGCTGTCATGGAAATGTGTTCGGATCAGTGCACGCGCAGTGCGCGCGTAAGACTCGTTCCCTTCAATGCTTATTGATGAGCAAATCTTTCTTTTGGATCCAGGTCCCCCCCCCCTTCTCCGAGGCAAATCAAGGAGGTAAATGGAGGGTGTATGCACTGAGACGCATCGCGAATGATCCTCGCTTCTGCAGGGCAGAGGACACCGATCGCAAGATCCGGGAGAAGTTACGGCAGCCTGCACGCGAGCGCCACATCGCCCGCATGCGTTTGAAATGTCTTGCCCGGGTGGTCGCTCACAGCCCTCGGGCTTTGGTAGCTCTTCTGCGCGCCCGGCATGGAGGCATCTTTTGAAATGGGCGCGGCAAGTAGAAGCATATTCCCATTTTCTCCACCCCTTCTCGCCTGGCGATTTGCCTTCCTTCTCTCCTGCCCCCCTCGCTCGGCATGATCTCATCTTGAAGCGGTCTGAGTGGAACGCGCTGGTGGATCGTATATTGTTTGTCCCGTCCATGTGTGACCAGACTCGTGCTCCCCCGAAGCCTGGCCAACCAGCGCAGCATTCGCGCCACTGCGGCGATGCCTTCATCACTTCCCGTGCCCTTGCGAGCCACCAGCGCCGCAAGCATGGACAGACACTGTCGATTCAGGATCGGTTGGAGTCATCTGCGTGCCCTTCCTGCCACAGAGATTTTAGAGAACGAGTGCGCTTGTTGGCACATGTCTCCGATAAGCGTCGCCCCAAGTGCCGCGAGTGGATCCTTGTAAACTGCCTTCCGTTGCCTCTGGAGCAGGCTGCCGCACTCAGAGCCAAAGGTCGCGAGCGTCGGCGGCTTGCCCAACAATGCGGGCATTCTCATCATCTCGCAGTGCTGACAGCACTGCGCGCAGCGTAGCCACGCGCGCTACTCGAGACTTCGTTTGCGCAACTGTGCGCAGGTCTGTCGCGCAACGTGCGTCGCGCATATCATCCAAACTTGAGATTACCAACCCTTGCATCATCGGAGGTTGGGGGGTGAGATCGAAGTGGAACGGAGAGCCCCCCACCGGGAAATCGGTTTCGGTTTCGTGTTCGTGCGTGCCGTGCGCGCGGGCGAGGCGAAGCTGCGTGGGCGGGCGAGAGGAAAGTCTCCTGTGGCTGAGGCGCGGCCGGACCCAATGATTCTCCCTCGGGCAAGCGGTGGCGCGCGGTGTCCCGCCGGTGTCCCGCTGGTGTTCTGCTTGTGGTTAGGCCCCCGCCGGACCAAATGATTCTCCCTTCGGCCAGCGGTGGCGCGCGGTGTCCCGCCGGTGTCCCGCCAGTGTCCCGGTATCCCGCTGGTGCGAAAACGATAGTGAGACCGATGACGAAATCGATTGTGAGATCGATGGTGAGACCGATAGGGAGACTGATTGTGAGATCGATAGTGAGATCGATCGTGAGATGAATAATAATGTCGATTGTAAGACCGAGTGATATCGATATGGAGATCGTTCGTGGGATCGATAGCGAGATCCACAGTGAGTTCGACAGTGCAATCGACCGAGTGAGATCGATAGTGAGATCGATCGAGTGAGATCGATAGTGGGGCCGATGGTCCCATCGATCGTGAGACCGATAACGACATCGCTTGTGACATCGATGGAGAGATCGATAGTGATATCGATGGTGAGATTCATCGTGAGACCGATAACGACATCGCTTATGATATCGATAGAGAGGTCGATCGTGAGATTGGTTGAGTGGGATCGATAGTGAGATCGATAGTGAGATCGATCGAACGAGATCGATAGTGTGATCGATCGGGTGAGATCAAGTGTGAAAGCGATAGTGGGGTCCATTGTGAAATCGATTGAGTGAGACGTTGGGTCCTCCCCCCCTCCATTCTCTTACCATCCAGGGATTTCGGCTCAAGGCTTCTGTTGCACTCGGTCCCCCAAGCCTTGCACAACGAATTAAACAAAGTATGGTTTCGTTGGTTCCCGGGTGGGGGGGGAGAATGATACTAAGGCACCCAAGAGCGAAGGATGACGCAAACAACTCGACACGAAGGCTCCCAAGAGCGAGCGGCAACGCAACAATCACCACTGTTGCCCATTGCTGGCCCCCTCTCCCCCCGTATATATAGGTGTGTATATATATATACCATGCAGAAGGGAATTACAATGAAGGAGGAGGGCGCGGAGGAGGAGAAGGTGGACGAGGAGGAGGAAGAGGGAGGAAGAGGAGAGGGGTAAGGAGGAGAAGGAGGAAGACGGAAGGAGTGAGAGGGAAGTGGTGGAGGAGGACGAGGGGAAGCAGTGGGGAAGGAGCAGGAGAAGTGAGGAAATCAGGGACGGAGGCACGAAGCTGGAGAAGATCAGGAGCAGGATAATAATTCAGAGAAAGAGGAGGAAGTTTGACAAGGGAGACGGGAACAGGGATGAGGGGGAGGAGAAATAAGGGATGGAGGAAAGTCAGGAGGGAGAGGAGAAAGAAGGGTTAGAGGAGAGAAGAGGGATATTGTTAGACAAGTACGGGTGCGGAAAGAAGATCAGTTATCTTCTTCCGTTCCTGATCTCAGATACGGGAGGGGGACGACAGAAGGAGTGATAGGAGGGATAGGCGAAATACCAGTAAGAGGAGGACCAGGGATGATGCAGGAAGAAGGGGCGGAGGAGAGGAGAAAGAAGGAGGTATCCGTTGAGCTATCCATCGGAGGTTTTACCCCGCCGGGGGAGGTGTGAGAGGAGGAAGAGGAGGAGAGGAGAGAGTGGTAGGAGGAGAAGTGTCCTCAATGAGCTCTTGGTCGATGGACTTCTTGACGAGGCAGTTCTACCGGATGAGCATTAACAACATCATGGGCGGGAAGCCCACGTTATTTGCTGCCAGATGCCACCATTTGCAGCAGCCGAGGCGAAAGTTTCCTTGGCTCTGCTTGGCCTGTTTTCTCAACTTGGCGGCCTTCTTCTGTGTTTCAGGCCTGCTGGTCGACCTCTCGCTGTTCGGAGGGCCGAGTCTGTATGTGATGCTCCTCCCTGCATTCGGATCGATTACCTTTTCGTTGTTCATGTTGCGGGTTGTGCTCGCCATCTGGTGGTCCCCCAGGGCCTCAGACGCCGTCGCGTCCTTAGCCTTCATCGCTGTACAACGTCGCTGCCGCGCGTCCGTGCAGTCGGTGTGCAGGATGGGTGGGTGGTCGGAGGGGAGGGGGGGGTGGAGGCCATCATAGATCTTGTGCGTAGCTTCATTTGTTTCGTGGAAGGCTGGAAACGCTGGGACTGGTAGCACACCAGTGACGCTTATGTTGCTCGATACCTCGGGGGTGCCCGCGCAGTGCTCCGTCAGAGCCGGAGCGAATAGCAAAAAAGTTGCCCGGCACGCATCCGCAGTCGCAGAGCGCGGTGGCGGACATTCACTTTTCTGCACGCGTATGTGATTCAGCAGGTGGGGCTCACTGAAAGCGGCAGCGTGTTCTACGCGGCCAGGGCCCTAGTGCAGCGCCGCCTGGAGGTCCCACTGCCCCAAACCATTAGAGAGTTCGAAGACATCTACTCGTGGTTCGATAGGTGGGCCGACGAGTGGATACCCGAAGATTCTAGCGGGCTGCCCGAACTGCATCCTGGATGGGTCGCATGGCGCCACCCTACAATATGGACGCAGCGGGTATCTCATCAGCACTGCGGCTACTGGAATTTCGCTGGTGAAGTCTGTACAGCGTCACCTGAGTTGAACGATGACACTGAGATGACCACTCCATGGCATATTCCGGGGATTGCATCTGATACTGCTATGACGCTGGAGCACCTTTCTGGATCTTTCTTGAATTTCCGCGGCCAAGCCAAGATGGTGCCTACTTTCGCAGGTGAGCTCGGAAGTTATAGATTGTCTCGTGGCTATTCGGTGACGTTGGCGACTGATGAATCTGGTTACCAGATGATCAACAGGAGCTCGCTGAAAGCAATGTTATCGAGGATACGCCAAACCGAAGTGTTGACGCTGCGCGAATCCCCACCAGCCCATCCAGAAACGATGCCCAGAGGAATTGCCTCGATCAGTCAAGTGGGCAGCACACAGAGGAAGCTATTCTGAGACATCTTGGGAGACTTTGAGCCATCTTGGAGGTCATTTTGGGCTCCCCCAGGCGCTCTTAGAGTCATCTTGATCAGTGCCCCCCCCCCAAGAGGCCAACATGTGGCTAAAACCTTCGTGCAATCAATGATTCGGCATTCTCGCCGAGGCCTCTTGGAGCATCTTGGGTGCCCCTGGGGGGTCTCTTGAGGCCTCTTGAGGGTCTCTTGGGCGCCTCCTGGGGGCCTCTTTGGGGCCTCTTGGGGCCATCTTGGGGCCATCTTGGGACCTCTTGGGGCCTCCTGGGCGCTTCTTGGGGCCATCTTGGACGAGATCGATCAAACAAGAGGGGAGCTTCAATGAGGGTCCCCCCTGAGGAGGCCAAAATGCGGCCCAAACCGTAGTAAAACCAATGATTTTGGCTTCCTCGCCGAGGCCGTTGACGCCCTGACACCTCGCGACCCCCCCCGTCCAGGTCCAGGGGAGGGGGTGAGGGGAGGGGTAAACCCCTCCCCGAAGGGGAAGAAGGAGGGGTGGAAGAGGAAACTCTCTAAACCACCGACGCCCAGGGGGCTGGTGGGATTCATAGACAAGTACACCAGGCTCGTGTACATGAACCACAATATGCTCCATGCGGCCACCAATCAGTGGATTTCCTATCGGGTATTGTTCGAGGTCGGGTCATCCGGTCTCATCGAGCCCTCGCTGAAAATTCATTTGGCTTGCGACACATCCGCCGGCTCCTTTGTGGGGGCAGGGGGGTGGGGAGTCGAGGGAGCCAGCCCCCGCTTTCAAATGAGCACTATTGTGTCCCGCGGCGAGAGAATGTCACGCGCCCGGCGATCCCAGAGTGGGCGGCGGGTATACCAGGGAGCATTGCTCTATTGCAGATTCGGGGAGGAGGCCATGAACCAGCCGCCGTACGACCCCCGGATGGTGAGCGCGCTGGAAGCGCTGGGTCATCTCTCGGAGCCGTGCTCTGGGCCCGACGACTGCGAGGAAAGATTGCGGTCGGCTGGCCTGTCGCCGGACGGGTTCAGCTGCTCGAACGTCGGCGCCAGCCGCTACGAGCCCGCGGCGCTGGCCTTCTTCATGGGGGCGACCGACAAGATATTCTTCCCGTTGATGGAGTCGTCCCCCGAAATGCTCGCCGCCCTCTTCGCGCTGGTCACCTTCCTCACACTCGAGGAGATCATCCAGATGGCCATGCAGGGCAGGGCGTACTTTGCGTTGGTGTCCAAATACGTGGAGCTGCTCACGCTTGTCGACGTCTTCCTCATCTTCGAGCGCGCCATGGCCCAGCAGGCCGCCACGCCGCAGGATGGGGCGAGCTGGGAGCTCTACTCCAACAACATCGAGCTGCTGCAGCGTCTGTGCGGAATCGCCTGCTTCACGTGGTGGATGCGGATGCTGAACTTCGTGTCGAAGCTGCACCCCAGGATGAGGATCCTGATGCACACGATGAGCAGTGCATGGCTGGACCTGGTCTTCTTTTGCATCCTCTTTGCCATCGTCCTCTTCTCTTTCTCCACGACATTCCACATATGGTTTGCTGGCAGCGAGGCCGAATTCAGGACGCTTGGTCGCACTTTCGTGTCTCTCTTCCGCGGGCTCACTGGCGACATTACAGCGGGGCCGCTCGTGGCGCGCTGGGACACTGGTTTGTTCTACATGGCGTACGTGGTCCTCTCTATGCTCATCATGGTGAACGTCTTTATCGCCATCATCTCCTCGTCCTTCGAGGGGCAGCAGCAGGAGGTGGAGACGCTGATAGAGCGAAGAGCCCGACAGGCCCTTGAGCTGGACGGCTGGATCCTGCAGGACCCGGGCGGCAGTTCTCTGGACGGGCAGGACGAGGCACCCCGCAGCGGAGACGTCCTGAAGGTTGTACTGTGGCGTGGGCGCTCCCTGCGCCAGAGCGACTGGTTCGGCCTGTCGAACCCGTATGCGACGCTCGGGCTGAGAGCCTCCGGGGAGGAACGGCAGGAGCCCAAGGGCCCCGAGACGATTCGGCTGCAGCTGGGCGACCGCCCGGTGGCCTTCGAGGCCGCCAGGGTGCAGTCGCAGGTGGTCGAGCAGTCCGTCGATCCCGAGTGGAACCAGAGGGGCCTCTTCAGCATCCCGCACGGGGCCGCAGAGACGGGCCAGCTCGAGCTGCTGATCACGGTGTCGGACAAGGACGCGGCCGTGGACGACCTCATGGGCGAGGCCGCGGCTCCGGTGTCCCAGCTCCTGCAGGCCAGCGATGCGTGCAAATCTGTGTCTGTCTCCTGGGGGCGGTCGATGGTTTGCCGGTACGTGTGCCCGAGCGGCGGCAAGGGCGACAAGGTCTTTCGCCACTTGCTCAAGGTGTACCGCGACGGAGCTCAGGCCGGGGTCGTGGAGGTCTCGGTGGTCCTCCACAGCGCGCGCGATACAGACGAGGCGTCTGCCCAGGCGGTCAGTCTCTGACGTCCGCGGCATCAGGAGGCGCCCGCGCGCCCGCAGCATAGCCAAAACTCACAGGTCGCAAACGGTCTCGAGGCGGCCCCAGATACCTTCATAGACTTCCGGGAGGCTCCCAGGAGGCACCAAGAGCTTCCAAGGAGGCCCCGAACGACTCCCAAGACGACGCCAAAACGGCCCCAGAGGCGTCCCAAAAGTCCACGGCCTGTATCCGGGAAACTTCTGACCCACGGCCTAGGCATGGCAATTGGAGAAAAGATGGGACTCTCAGAATTTTTGTCCCCAACCATCCTGTGTTGTTGGGTCTTCGTTTTGAAGAGACAGCGCCCCGCGTCCTCACTCCTCTCCTCCTCCCCCTCCTCCCTCCTCCCTGCGTTTCGTCATCATCACCCGTTTCAGCACACCTCACACGCTCCGTGGCCCCATAGGGAGCTCCACCGAAGGCTCCAATCGGACCGCCCGCAAGCGTCACGCACCACCCAGTACGTCGTCTCGTGGCCCCACAGGGAGCTCCAGCCCTCTTTCCCCAATCTCACCCCCAGTCAGCAATCGTCTGTACCTCGCTCCCTCCGCCGTGGCACGCGGGTGCCCGTTGGCTGGCCTCGCCCTCTGCACCCTGCTCCCGGTTCCAGCCAGAGGCCCGAGCCCGTGCGCGGCGACTCGGCGCCGCCGGGCTGCAGCGACTCCGCCGAGGAGGAGCCCGGCCTTGGGCGTCGCGGGTGGTCGCCGGCTGCAGGCCTCCAAAGTCGAGGCGGAGGAGGTGCGAGGCGGAGTGGGGAGGAGATAAGAGGGAGAGGGGGGCGGGAAGGAGAGGGAGGAAGAATGAGGAGGGGGGAAGACGAGGGCGGCGGAAGAGGAGGAGGAGCAAGGGGAGGAGGTGGACAAAGGAATGAGATGAGGAGGCAAGGGATAGGAGGGCCGGGAGGAGGTTATGGTATGGTATGGGTTGGCCCTGAAGGCGAGGTCAAGCCTGGGTCAAGACTCGAGCCCCGACTTGCGATCGGTCTCACCGCCGTCCTCGCTCGCTGAACGCTCGAGGGCCTGGCACCCGAGCTCACAGGCCGCCGGGGGGTCGTTCTCCCACAGTCCGAATGTTCGCAGCACCTCGGCACGCCCTCCGAGATCCCCCCCCACTCCCCCAGGCTCCGCCCGCCCCTGGCTGCTACTCAGCAGGCAGCCGCGGGGCCGCAGCGGGGAAGGGCGCACCTCCGCCGGCACCTCCAGAGGCAGAGCGGAGCGCGGGCAGGACGCCGTGAGGCTTGTCGAGCCTGAGGTCCCTCACCCGAGCCCCCTGTACTGTGCGAAGGGAGCTCGCCCTCACGACCTCTCCGGAGCTGTTCTCGGGCTGCTGCCTGCTCCCGTCCTGCACTCCGACTCGAGACCTCGGGTCAGCTTGCCGTCGGAAGACACGGGCCAGGAGGGGGGGAAGAGGAGCAGGGAGGGCAGGAAGCGGAGGAGGCTCGAGGTTCGAGGATCAAGGGCGCAGGCCCTTGTGTGTAAGGTCTGGGGCCTTCCCGGGTTTCTTTGCGGCGCCCTCGTGCAGGCAAGCGGGCTGCAGCGGCCCCCGCTCCGCCAGGGAGGACCGGGGTCCAGGGCGGCGGGACCCCGCCTCGAGGATCGAGGCGCGATGCTCCTGGGCGCTGCTGCCGCTCCTCCTGGGCCTCCTGGGGGGGGGGCTTCTCGTCGCCACGGCCAAGTCCACGCCGCTGGAAGGCACCCCTGGAGGCGTCCACAGCCCGGCGAGGCGGGGGCCTCGCCGACCCATCGAGGATCGGTCCTCGACATCTTCGGACTTCAGCATGGGCGGACAGCAATAATTACCATGCGACCGGCTTGCTCGTGTCGACTTCACCTCTCTCTCTCTCTCTCTCATGGGCTCGAGTCGGATTCTCTTCCTCCCCGGAGGCAGCCCTGGCTGGTCTCAACGGGCCCCCTCCAGGTAGCGTGGAGCGCCCTCTCGACTTGACTGGACTCGAGTCGGAAACTCCTCCGCCCTGGAGGCAGCCCTGACTGGTCTCAACGGCCCCTCCCCCCAGACAGTTTGGAGCGCAGCATCCGGCGGCGCTCCCCGCTGGGGCGCTGCGCGTCTCTGCGGTCGGGGGTGTCGAGGCCGCCGCGGGCTGCCCTGCGGGCCCTGCCAGGGGCCGCTGCGCCAGGGGGCTGTGAGTGCGCAGCCCCTTGGGGGAGGGGGTTTCCCAGAGAGCCCCCAGAGGCCTCGGAACCTCGTCAAAACAGGGGGTGCGCAGCCCCTGGGGGACCCCTCCTGGAAAACCCATTTCCCGAATACCCCCTTTGGAACCCTCCGGTTTTGGGCTCATGCCCTGGGTTGGCAGGACCTCCACCTGTCCGAGCTGTCCAGAAGAGAGCGGCACAAGAGCAGCCAGCGCAGACGAGAAAAATGGCAGCGGAGATCGATGGTCCGAGGCGGGAATTTATACATGACCACCGCCTGGAGGGTCGGTTTTCGGAGCCTCGGCAGGCGGTGGATATGGACATATTCGGGCCCCCGGGGGCCGAAATATTTCTGTCATGTTCTGTCATTTTCTGTTAGTTCCTGTCATTTTCTGTCATGTCGGATTCAGCTAATAAGGATTCTTTATGAGAGCCCTATGCATATCCACCGCCCGCTGGGACACCAGGACGTCGGTTCCTAGGCGGTGCGCATGGATCAAACCCCCGCCTCGCAGATGGTCACAGCGTGCGACTATCAATGGGGTGAGTCGCTTCGTTTCGCAACGTCGCAGGAGCATGTTTGAGCCTCGTCAATCGGAGGACTCGTTTGGTTCGTATGTTGTGGTGTGCTGGCGCATGTGGCATTGACGTGGGAGTAGGTTGCATATACGTGTAGTGCTCAGTACCACCCTTTACCGGGCCAGACTCAAGAAACCACGCCTCTCGGTTGAGGGTCTCGACCTCGTGCGATGTCACACTGCACAATGGGGGCGAGAGCCCCGACATCCTCCTCCTCCTCCGCCTCCTCCTCTTCCTCCTCCTCCTCCTCCTCCTTCTCCCCCCGGCCACAAGAGGCTCTGTGTGTCGAGACTGCCGCCGCCCGCGGGGCTTTGGGCGATCCCCCCTCCTTTCACCGGCGGCGCGCAGGGAGGGGCGGACCTGGGGCGAGAGGGGCGCGCGGCCTGTCTGGGCCTCCCGGATGGGGTCCGAGCAGATGGGGTCGGCAGCCCGATTCCCGCCGCGCCGACGTCGCCGATGCATCATCGACGTCGCCGGTGCCTCGCTGATGCATCGGCGATGCATCTGCGAGGGGGCGCGATCCTCCGACACCCTCTGCTCGGACCCGATCCGGGAGGCCTCCAGACAAGGAGCCCTCTCTGGGAGCCGCTGCGAAGGGGGCCCGCGGCCCCCCTGCCCGGTCCGGGCCCCCCCGCCTTCGATCGGAGGGCCGCCTTCGATCGGAGGGCCCCCCCCTTCCCAAGGCCGCCGGCGTCGTGTGTTCAGCAGTGCGGGGTCCCGGGGGCTCTCTCGGCTGGGTCAGGCTTCGGGTGGCGCACAGAGAGAGCCCCACCCAGGCAGTCCCATGGTGGCCTCGACAGGCCCCCCTGAGCAGTCCCGCCGGGCCTCCGGTCCAGGGCGGTCTCGACCCTCTAGCGCCGCCGCCCGCGGCGCCCCTGGAGCGCTCCGCGCCCCAGGGTGGAGGGGTCGAGGCCACCCCACACTTCTTGGGGGGGGGCCTGTTTGTAGGCTAGCCGAGACTTCTCGGGGCGCCTGTTGAGGCCGGTCGAGGACTACCTGAGGGGGTCGTCTGCGCGCAACCCGAAGCCTTCCCATCCCGGCCCCCCATCTGCCCATGGGCCCGTTTGGGGGCCCCAAACGGGGTGGTGACCGCACCGTGCGGTGAGTCGATGGGGATTCGGGGTCACCGCACGGTTTTGGGACTCGGGTCGTTCTCCGAGGACGTCTCGGGCGACAGGGGCCTCCAGGGTCCCAAAACCGTGCGGTGAGGGACCGTGCGGTGAGGCCTTGGGGGATTTCGAGGTCACCGCACGGTCTGTCACCGCACCGTTGCGGAACTCCAAACAGTTTACTTTTCTTTACCCTGAGATTGGCTCGGTGGCCCTGGGGCCCGAAGCGGGCCTCTGGAGGCGGCCGAAGGACAGGGAAACCAGGTGTCTTCAAGAGCTCACGACGTCGGAGATCCGGGCTTGCGCGCCGCCGAGCTTTCGGAGGTCGTCAACTATACGCCGGCACCGATCGTGGCCAAGGCGATCTAGGGCCCCTGATGGGAGCTCGCGCCTCCCTGGCCAAGCCAGGAGGGCGGACCTCCTAGGCCCAGAAGAAGCCTGGCCGGGGTCGGTGCACCCTCTCCTCGAGTCCGCGTTTCCCTTGTGACGTGGGCTCCCTAGGTAGACGCGTCTCGGCCCGCTCCCCGGGGCAGGCTTTTCGTCACCGGCTTCTCTGACAGCCCCTGGGCGTGGAAAGGGCTTCACTCAGCCGGAAGCGGCCAAACGTCTGCAGATCCTCGCGACGCCCAGAGCTGAGGGCAGGCGTACAGTCGGCGCCCCCCGCCGAGCGCCGCGCGCTTTTCGGCCAGCAGCCATGTCGCTGAAGCTGCAGAAGCGCCTCGCCGCCTCGGTGAAGAAGTGCGGCCAGCCCGGGCCGGGCCTCGGCAAGCGCGCCGGATCGCGGACGGGCTTGCGCGCAGGGGGCGGAGGAGGGTGAGTGATGCCGGACTCCCCACGTGGTGAACAGAATGGCGGCGGGACGTCGTCACCGTTGGCCTCTGAGGGGCCTCGCCTGGGGACCGTGGAAGAGCAACTCGGGGTGAGAAGTTTACCCTAGCCTCATTCGGAAAGTGGTGGAGGCCTCTCGGGGTCTTGGCGCTCACATCGCCCAGCGTCTCCAAGCAATCCTGATAGATGCACGGCGCACGCGCTGACCCCGTTACGAGGAGTTATGTTTGCGAAGGGGCAGACTCCAGCAGTGGCGAAGCGTCCTGGCGTGCTTATCGTCCTACCAAACAATGTTCTAAGAGCAAATTGTGGTTCCCA